GTACGCTTCCTCAAAGCGCTAGGGTACGGCAGCCCCGCTGCAGCCAATGTGGTTCACTGTACCAGGACAGGATGATGCTCGATTTCGCCTGTTACTTTATTTAATTAATTAGGACTTTTGCGGCCCGAAACAATGGTGTTGATATCCTGGGCTCGTCGTTGGCTGCGATTTGGAATGTAACGAGAGTACGTGGTAGGCAGTAAAAATTTCAGAGAAAGATAATATAGATTTCTTGTCATAAAGTTGGAAGATAGCACCAAAAGTATCCTCATGCTTTGGCGACATACGAATCTGAACGATTCGCGATGATGCTCAACACTTTAGTGGATACACGCACACAATATACTTAAGAACTTGCACAACAGCACGATCAATTAGCATAACCGCGTTTCTTTTTTAAATCTTCTTTCTCCTACCGGACCGAAATATCTACCTATAACAAAGAGCTTTTTTTTGTGAATTATTTTACTCGCTGAATCATAGTATCGATACATCTATTGTCGATTGTCGATCCGGTGAATTATGAGCAAGGTGCGTAGGTCGTATGTTCCCTATCCACCTCGCTCTAGCTCATACTAACGTCTTGCGCTCATAGAAGGATGAGCTGATAGTTTTACTCGCCCGCGAAATGGATCGTGTGTCTCGCAACTCCGAAAATTGGCAAGAACGCATGGCAGCTTTAGGTGAAATGCAGCGCGCTTTTGAGCTTTTAGAGAAGGACCCACCATGTGGTACTGTAGCTGCTAGCCTCAGTTCTGAAACATGGAAATTATTGCGACCGCTGAAGGGAATGGTGCAAGATTTGCGCTCACAAATTGTTAAAGAAGTCTGCGCTTTACTCACGACCATTTCGCGCGTCACGCGCGATGCTATGGCTCCGTTTTTGCGTGACATCTTGCCTACACTTGTGGAAGTACGTGGTAGCGGAAACAAGGTATGTGGTGCATACTGCGGCGAGTGTCTTGAGGCTATTGTGACACAGACGGTGGTCAAGGGCGCCACTTTGAGACTCTTTGTTGAGTTACTAAATAGTAAAAACTCACTTATTCGACTGTGCTGCATTACATGTCTACGGCATGCGCTTACTACGTGGAGTCCAGTCATGGACAAGAGTGACGTGCAACAGTTTGAAAAAGGGCTTCAGCACGCTCTGTACGACGCGAATTCATCATGTCGAGCTCAGGCGCATGAGCTTTTCTTGACCTTTCACACGCTGTTTCCTAAACAAGCGCTTGTAGTCATGAATCTGGTTGATTATAAAATCCAAAAGCGACTTGAAGCACTTGTGTCTTCAAACGTCAGTGAATCTTCAAAGCTGGCAGACTCAGCATCAAATGCTAGCGTGGATGGAGATGCTCTATTGTCTGTACCCCATGTCCAGGCTTTAGCGGGTTCCCATCTAGAAGTGGGCGATCGTGTCTGCATACCGGACAAAGAATTGTTTGGCTTTGTGCGATTTTTGGGGGAAGTTGTGGGTATGAAAGGCATTTGGGTCGGTATTGAATTGGATGAGGCATTTGGCAAAAATGATGGAAGTGTGAAAGGAAGGTACTATTTCCAGTGTAGACCAAAGCACGGTGTTTTCGCACGCCCTCAGCAGGTCTTCCTCACCATGTCGAGCGCAAAAGTGCACGAATATCAGCTCCAGCAGAGACAACAGATTCCGGATAGCGAAAGTTTGGTACAAAACGGAATCGCAGTAAAGTTGCGAGTCGATACAGAAGGTGAAGATAATGATACAATTGTAGCGTCAGAACACATGGTTCAATCCTCTCCAAGTGCTTCACCACCGGCTTCTGCTTCTGGAATGGCTCTGCCAGTCCATATCGAAACCCCAATGCCGTCCAAATTAAGCCTAGTGCTCAAAGAAGCGTCTTTAGCTCACCGTCGGTACCTTAATCGCCTTCTGATTCATGTTCGTTCAGAATTAGAGGAGCATGAAAGGTTTGAGAATTATGGAGCAACTGCCAGCTCAGCTGACGCAGTCCAGTACTTACAGCAGCTTCAAAACAGTGCCCAGGACAAAATTGTTCTCTCGGATGAGTTTATTCAGCAGATAATTCAGGCCCAACAAGCGGCAAGAGAGTCATAACAAGTGGTAATGAATTGACTTGCTCTTGATTATGACTTGATTGTATCTCAGAATTTAGCTGTGCGCGCCTTTTCCCAGTTAAATCTTGTCGTGGTATCTGCTAGCCTCAGCACTATCATACAAGCTTATCGAAGCAAGTGCTAAACGACCGTCAATACCTTCATCGAGAAATACTCCTCTTTCATTTGGAGTTCGGGATAATTGGCTGGTAGATGCAACAGGGTCGCCTAACATGGTGATATCTCTTGGGTTACTGATTGCCAACCAACTGAAACTACTTTCGTCGCTCAAATAGGCCGGACCACGCTCAGCCCACCAAAATTCTGTTCCATAGCTTTCGTCGCTGAAGTGCATTGAGTTGCTATCCTCACTGGATACAGACGTCGCTGATGCTGACGAAGATGCTAGCAATATCATTTCGGTCGTCGAACAAACGGCTTGGCCTAACAGCGAGCGGTATTTCCCGTCATCATTTTTATGCTTTTTATTATGTGACAACAACCCAGGATAATATCCAGTTTCTTGGAAGATGGATGTTTTTTCTCGTTCAATGGACAACCGCGCCTCAGAAACTGCTTCGGCCACGTGCTTGTCAATAAACATTTTTGCTGCCCCAGCTTTAAGCTCTTCTAGCAATTGCTGGTCACTTTGAATTAAGATACCACTCGTGTGCATGTACAATGCGTCCACTTCATCTTTACTATTGCTCGCACTGCTGCTTCCACTGGCAGTCCGTCGGTGTTTATTAACATTCTGAAGCTGAGCGTGAGCATCAGATAACAATTTTTTCTGACCAATTCGTTTTGCTAACCAGTCCAGAGCCTCCGTTCGAGCTTCGCGCGCAACTAAAGTCAGTGTTGCTAGCTCTTCTTCACGTAAAATTTTTAAAGTTGTGGCTGATAACTTTGGGGACTGTGGGGTAGCTCGAAGATTTTGAGGTGTCGCCAAAGGCATTGCATCTATGCGCGGGCTGATGGTAGTGATCGAAAGGGGTGACGGCACATTGGGATGAGTGGGTGCAGACGACACTTTACGACACGCCAACTCTGAGTTACCAATATCACCAAGTGGTGAAACGAAAGAGATGTGATGTTCAGTGTTTTTGTCATTCAAGCTACTGCGCTCTTCTCGCCAGATTTGAATCAATTTTAAACGCGCCTCACGTGGGCTTACTCCCCACTGATCGACTACATCCGATTGAGCCGAACGTATAAGGTCAAGGTTGTCTACAAGACACGCAACAAGTTGAGGATCACGCACGCTAAGGTGCACTGCAAGCTGTAAAAGACCGATACGCGCATGTGGCATGGATGCCCTTGTGTGGGCCCCACCACTTACTAGTGCACGAAATGCAGAGGCACATTGAAACTCGACAGCCAACATTAACGGATTATGTGGGCACGCACTGATCAAAGTCGTAGCAGGATTCAATATAAACTCTCTGAAATTACCGTTTTGATTATCTCGGCAAGGCTTTCCTTCAGTCCATAAGTTCAGATCCTGTCCATATTGCACGAAGAGTTCAATCAATGTTTCATCACACTGCTTACGAAGTGCAACATGAAGCGGAGCGAAGCCAGAATGGTTCCAATTGGCAGATTCAACATGTTCTTGAAGAAGCAACTCGACGACAAGAAGCATAGACGTTTGGTGAGGCCACATACACGCCAGGTGAAGTGCTGTGTTTCCAGTCCTCGTTGTCATGGTCAAAAGCTTGGCACAAAGTAACTGGATTTCAGCATTACGTGCTTGAAGCTCACGTGATAAATACAGCAACAGCAAAGCGTTAGAGGCTGCTCCCTCTGCAAGTGCAGCATGAAGTGGCGTCTCTGCACGCGTACCAATCGAGTGCATTAGCACTTGCGCAGCAGCGTATGGATCCGAAATTGATAAAAAAGCGAGGAGAATTCGAAGTAAGTTGTACGTGGACACGCCACCAGACGCAGCAACATGCAATGGCGAAGTTGTTATAAGTTCATCACAGTGTATCGGGGAAATTGATGGGAGAGTTTTGATTGATTGGACGACTGATGGGATTTTAAACTGTGAAGAATCTGTGGCTTTCACTGATTCGTTGCCTCCGAGAACTTGAAGAATTGAGATTGTTTCACTGAATTGTAAGATTCGAACCACAACGGCCTCAATCCCTTGAAAAAGAAAAGTAGTTGTTTTGGAGTTGTTATCATACAAATACGACGTAGATACTGAAAATGTGTTTTGACGGTGACGAGAATCATCATTTGCCCATACTGAATCAAAGCTGGATGCCCGCGTTTTCTTCAGGCAATTAGACCTTTTCATTTCAAAATCCAAAATTCCACCCGATAAACGCCTCGAAACACTTGTATTGTCGCCCATACTCGTTGTCTTACCTTCATCTCGCCTTCCTATCTTTGAACTCATTTGTACTAGAAGTGGAAGAAGCTGCACAGGATATGATTGACTCTGACAGGTCTGGTCCTGACTCATACGATCGAGCAAAAAAGCCGCTAGCTCGATTTGTCCAGCTTGACAAGCCAAACCAACCACAGGCGTTTTAGTGTCTTGGTCTATCCACCAATTTCTGTTTATTGTGTAAACTTTCTCTTTCTTCTCTTCCTTCTGATGCTGCTCGATAAGGACAGCAGCCAACGCATATAAACCGTGGCGAATAGCCAAAGCCAGTGATGATGCGCCTCTAGAATCCAAAGTATTTATGTCGGCTTTATGAGCGATTAAAGCTGCAGCTGCCACCTCTTGTCCTGATTTAATTGCAATATGGAGTGCTTTGTCGTCATTTCCAAAAACCACCTTTTCTTCCCTGTATCCTTTTCTTCGAGCATCTCGTTTACTTTCAATAGATGCTTCACTCCACTGACATATCAAAGTCACTGGAGAGGCCCCAAAATCGAGCAATAGAGCAACAACTTGTTGCTGTCCATTTTTTAGAGCCAAAGATAATGGCGTATCATTACTTTCGCGTCGACTAACTTGTCTATCGAGACCTTCAGTTGGCGAAATGTGGCGATATAATTGAATCAATCGAGCGATCAAAGCAACAGGTGCGCGCAATAGAATTGCGAGATGCAATGCTGACATACCTAGCGCATCATACGATCGCGGGTCTACTGCATGACCTGCGACTAGTGCATCAACAACGCGCCATTGCTGTTGCTTCAGAGCTAAATGCACAACTGGTTCTCCACAACCGTCACACTGATGCACAACCTGTGCGTTGATAAAGAGAATTGCTTCGATTAGTGCAAGTGCTACCTCCTCGTTGCTCGACTTAATGGCAATATGAAGTGCAGTATCACCTGTCGCATTAACATGATCTAAACATGTAGCACCTTGGTAATTCGATGTCCTGCTCGTATTTGTTGACGTCCGTTGAAGCCCGGCTATACTCAAGAGTTGATGTACGCCCTCAACGTCACCCATCCAGCTCAAATACATGAGCAGATTCCATCGATTTGCATCGTCTGCCTGTACTTGGTAACAGTGAAAATTTGCGCTCTCTTCTCCCTCACTGTCGACCTTATCAAGTAAAAGAAGTCGTTTGCGTAATCTTTGTCTTTGCTGTTGATCCACCTTTTGCTCGCTGCTGCCACTAAAGGAGCGGGAAAAAACTACTTGTGTAGCATAATCCCAATGTAGTAGAGCACGAGGATCAGCATCAGAATTAAGCAATACGGCAATTGTGCTTTCAAAGCTTGGCACACGGGGATCTTGCAGAAATGCCAATTGCAATGCAGTTACTGATCCACTTGGCGATTGTTTTTCTTGAATTTCTTGTTGTCTAGAGTCGTCCGGTGAAAGAAGGCGAGAAATCCGCAATCGCAAGTTCGCCATGGCATTTGCTGCAATCAATTGACGAATCTTTTTGAGTTTTGGTAGGCGATCACGCCGTGATAATTCCAAATACAATGCAAAAGTAGCGATATGGTCACGAATTGATACGAGCATCTCGGATGTCTCGCCATTACCAATGACCAGCGTCTTGATGTCTTGCGTAACCGTGCTACTGAGATTACTTGAATTCGAATACACTGGCTTTTGAAATGTCAAGGTCAGAGCAGCTTTTCGAGTTGGCGTCGCATCATCATCACTGACATGCTCCAATTTTATCGATACCAAGTTTTCGAGATCGTAACACTTCATTTTGGGGGCGATATCTCCAGAAGATATGAGAGGGATAGAGCTATTCCTTACAATAGTACTGAAGGACGTGTTAAATGAGACATTGGACGAGTGTTGACGAAAGGATCTGACCGTCGGACTACGTTTGTGTATCTCTAATATTCCCCAACGAAGCACCAGGTGACGTGCTCGCCAACGTCCTAACCAGCTCTTGGATCTCTTCATCACCTTCCACTGAAATTCGTGAAACATTGGTGTAAACGTGGCTTCATTTGGTAAATTTTCTTTCACATTTGTCGATTTTGGTCTATAGGGAACAGTGTTGGGATGACACTCTGGCTTGAGTTCAACTCTCGGCTCGAGCGGAAAAGGATCCTTTGCTACAAGTCGTGTACTGACAAATTGCCGAACTAATACACTCTTTAAAGTGTCAAAAGTAACTGGTACAAATTCGTTTGCATCCTCGTTCTCTGCGCTTTCACTATCCGAAGATGTTCGGGTGAGTGATGCACATAATACTGAAAATGCTGTAGGCTGCTGTGCATATTGAGGAAAGTAGATGCTCAGGAATTCAAGCAGATCTAAGCGCGGCCATATGGTCGTTTTTACGTGGTTGCAATTGTTGTAGGTGCGCGCCGCTGCCTCGTAAGGACAACGTAGTGGTTCCATGAATGCGTCATGGAAACCACGCGCAGACATTTGCGAAAGTTTATCACGGGCTTGTTGTATCTCGTCACGAGCGTGAAGAAGCTGTGCATGCAGTGTCGTAGGCGACGCCATTTACCAGAAAGATGTCGGTTAGCAGGATACTAACAGCTACGATGCTTAATCTGCGTCTATACTAAAACCATCTTTGTGTTGGTTATCTTGCCCATGCAGTTATGGTGCTATATGTATATCTCATTTAGTTCATCGTATACAGCATGTGTTCAGGTTACAGATTTTAGAATTCGATTAACTCCATGTCTTGAAGCAAAAATTGTAGCTTGAAGCGTCCCAGTTAGGGTTAGGCTAATCTAACCGGTTCAATCAAAATTGAGTATGTGACGGCCCGCAACGCAGCACCAGCCATTTGCCTTAAAATTACTACCGGTACCCACTCACCGCTCCATTTCGCCTTTACGAAAAAACTTAGGACAACCATGGCTGTCGGTGAGTAACTAAAGCAACTTTTATGACAATAAATGTGGAGCAATAGGGTGAGCTGCGGTTGGGATTGCCTCGTTCCAATGTCCTCACCTCAGCCTGGCAGCGACGACAGAGAGCAGCTAAATCGGAAGAGCTATATCATCAATAGCACAATTGAGTTACAGCGAAATGATATTTAGCGATTGGAAACGGAAGTGGCAATCTGCAACAGTTTCACCCTGCTCAAGCTTAACAGGTAGATGTATCAATCGCTAACTTTAAACTGAATTCAGGAAAGAACAAACGTTTGACTAAAGGCAAAAAAGGCGGCAAGAAAAAAGTGTACGCTATACGTCTACTTTTTCGGGAGCATTTCCCGGCATCGAGGTGACAGCATGTAACGATTGCTTATTATTCGTCTCTTTTCTCGTTACAGCGTTGATCCATTTACACGCAAGGACTGGTACGATATCAAAGCCCCTGCTATCTTTTCGGAACGCAACTGCGGTAAGACTCTGGTGAACCGTACCGCTGGTACCAAGATCGCTTCGGAGGGTCTCCGTGGCCGTGTGTTCGAGGTCTGCCTTGCGGACTTGAACAAAGATGAGGACCAGGCTTTTCGTAAAATTCGCCTTTGCGCGGAGGAGATTCAGGGCAACCAGATTATCACTGGCTTCCATGGCATGGATTTTACGCGTGACAAGCTGTGCTCGCTGATCCGCAAGTGGCAAACGTTGATTGAAGCGTTTGTGGATGTTAAGACCACGGATGGCTATCTAGTGCGTCTATTCTGCATTGCTTTTACTAAGAAGCGCCCGAATCAGATTAAAAAGACAACTTACGCTAAGACAGCTCAGATTCGTGCTATCCGTAAAAAGATGACTTCAATCATGACGGACGAAGCCTCGAAGTGCGACATTAAGGACCTTTTTTTGAAATTTGTGCCCGAGATCATTGGAAAGGAGATTGAAAAGGCTACTCAAGGCATTTACCCACTTCAAAATGTATACATCCGCAAGTGCAAGATTCTCAAGAAGCCCAAATTCGACCTGGTGCGTCTTATGGAACTCCATGAGGGCGGTGCTGAAGAGAAGGGCGCCAAGGTTGTTCGTCAGGAGGATCAACTAGTGGAATCGATGGCTGGCTCTGGTGGCCGCTTGTAGGTGCACTGATCAGCTGGACACGTTTGTTGGCGCATTCGGGCACGGTATTTGTTGTCGATGAAAGAAGCTCCATAGCGGCTACTTGTTATTAAGACGAAGAGAATAAAGGCGAAATTCAAATCCAATTTATTTGCACAAAATTTTTCTCCATGTTTTCTAAATTAATGAATAAAATATGACAGATATAATTAGTACTCTTGCTGATTTGAAAGAGGAAAAAAGTACTAAATACTAGTTGCAACTCAGTAATATTTTAAAGAAAGCCGCTGATGGCTGCGCGTGTGACCAAGCTTTTCTTGCAAAATGTCGCCGCTGACAAGGTGGATACCAGCAAGTCTACAACTACGCATGGGAAGAGAACCGTATCCAGTGCTTCATTATCCAAGAATGCTACAGGAAAGAGACGAAAGAAGAGCAAAACAGTTTCAGGCAAACCCACAGTAAAAGTGCTCGAAGACGCACGTCGCGAGCTGAAACAAGCTAATCGAACGCTGGAAAATCTGCGCAAGTTGAAAAATAAAACTTCGACAAAGTCTCAACGTCTTATGGCCAAGGTGCGTAACAATGATATGATGCAGGTCTTTAGCTAATGATAGTTTGCGTTTATTTCTAGGTTCTTGCACTACGGACTGTTGCATCTCGGTAAACAACAACAACAAAACTCTAGTTGATCCATTATGTCCAGCCATCGCTTCATTTTTCCTGTTGTATTTGACTATCTAGCAGCAAAGCGAATCGGACGTCTCAGCCTAATCTAGCCCACAACTTAAAAATCAAACCATATTGACTTAAAGACATCTTGATACTCTTTATCTGTTGCTTTATAGCTAATAAAGACGGTGTAAGTTCAGTCAAGTCTGCCTTAGTTTCCTTCTCTGCGATGATCGTCGTATCCATCACATTTGTTGACAGTTGAAGGTTTCAAGCCGCTTGGGTGCACGTTTACCTTCACAGTATCAAAGTCCTTGAAGTCGTCCTGGAGAAAAAACACGCAGGGTGGTCAGCAAAGGCATACGAACAAGAGACAACTTAATAAACACACTCGGCTCATTTGATAGAATGTGTAGCCAAAGACAGAGGACGCGAAGGTGGCAAGACTGCCACCCAAAATTAAATTTTTTGCGCGAACGGAAAGAGTCATTTTTGTGCACTGCTGAAGAATGAGCACATTATTTACTTGGTGTGGTTAGCTCATTTTCTAATATGTCAAAGCCTGATATGGGACTTTAAACCCGAATTATAGCCAATAATTGCTCAGAATATTCATCCCATGCAAAATGCGAAACGCACTCAGAAGACCTTCATAAATATTATGCAAACTTCTTGAGGATGTTTGAAAGCGCAATGCGCAGTGCTGACCAGAACCGACACTTTTGTGCTTTGACGAAATTAATTTCTACTAACAAACAAAACAGAGGAAAAACCCTTTTATAACTTGATACGTATCCGACCATATTGAGCGCACACGTAACTTCATAATTTGTCGGCTACTACGCAAGTTGACTATTGTAGATCACGCTCTTCCCTCCAGCCATCCGTTCCAGATCTTACCCCTCTTTCTGTTTGTAAATATGATGAATTCAGTTGCTTTCACCTCCCATCCCCCTCGCGCTGTAAATAGCTCGACTCCTAGGTCCGCACCCAGTATCCGATCGGATATCACGGACAAACCATCATGCTCAGGTTCTAAGCCGCCAACTAGGTCCCCGCCAGCTACTCATCCGACGACGCCGTTGCCCCCTCCTCTGTCGCCTCCAACCGCTGTGTTTCCCGCTCTTCCGGCCGTTGTGCCTGCTGATGCGTCGACCTTGATGACGAGCGATGAGACGCGACCCCAACTACCGTCAACTCGCCACCTCCTGCTGCTACTTTGCGATGGAATTAATGCAGCCCCCCGTCAATGCTACCTCACCACCAAACGTCGACACGCGTCCGACGGTGGCGGACTTGTTGCAGTTGCAAGACACAATTTGACGCGATAACGGGGAAGTCGAAGCTGCGAAACACCTCGCTTGCGACATCGAAGCAATCGGCCGCTAGTGGTGACTTGTCGCTCATCTCGGCTCGCATGGAGCAGTCTCGACCGCATGAGCTTCCGCGCGCCAATTACGACATACCGGTCGGACGTTTGCCAGGACTCCGCTCCAGAAGATCATGATATCACTGGCTGGCAAGCATCATGGTAACAGAGCTCTCGAGCAGCTGTGCGGCAAGTTCGAGATCGAGCAAGTATCAAGGATTCCCAGTAGCAGCCTGCGCGTGAAAGTGAAGATTAAAGATTCCTGCTTGAAGCTGAAGCGCACGAGGGTTAACATCCTTGATGTTGTATTTGTGCTCAAGGAATTTGAGGAACTTGGTAGCAAGTACTTCATCAATATCGTGATTGTCGACTCGAACACCAACACAAACGTGATCTTCCACCACATGGTTTTTATTGGGATGCAATCTGGTGTACGATACGTTCCGCGAAGTAAACCTCGTGGCGAAAAAATACGTCTGTCACCTGGCACATCTTCTTCCTCACCAGCTCGTGTCCAAGTGCGTTGAAGTTAAACGTGTAGGTGGGCTACCAAATCCTGTTCGATAACAAGTTGCATCCGACGCATGGCAAGAATGCTGCTTTACAGCTCAAACATCTGCCAGTTGGCTACCGTTCACACCAAGGCATCGACCTTTGGACGACCAACGACGAGATTTCCTGTCCAGCGTGTCCCAGTAAAATTGCCTTTCGGCTGCAGCAGCATCAACAAAACATCTCCAAATTTGCACACACTAACAGCGAAAGCTCCACCGAAGCAAACCTCGCTCAAGAAGGCTGTTGAGGAAACCAAGAAACCGGATGGTCAGCTCCAGAGCGGAGCTCAGCATGGTCAAGTACCTACTGCCAACCCCCGGAGCAACCGGGAGGATACAATGTCGATCTCGACCTTTAGCGGCTCGAGCATCAAGATCTCCCCCCTGAAAGTCCGAAGACGAAGAATTCGCCAATATTTCGCTTGACCGACATCTTCACGACCGTCACAAACAACAAGAGGAAGCGAGGACGTAGTGGATTCGCACATGAACTTGCAATGCCACTAGATTGCATTGCAAGCGAGAATTTTTCCCACGCGCTCGATGGAGGTCTCGTTCGAATTGAAGGACGTGACAGCCGGCAAGAATTACGGCGTGCGTCGCCAGATCATGCCTGTTAATCGAAGCGTCATGACATTGTAAAAACATCAATCGAGTCCGCCTTCTTCGTGGAGAAGCGCCACACGAAGATCAAGAAGGCATCGAAGGCATCTCCAGTCATGCAAGTGACCGAGTCGATACTCGACGACAAAAATAGGGCGCTTCGCAATACCCTCACTGATCTTCTTGCGGAACCAGGCAGGAAGGTCGACAGAGTGAGCAAGCTCTTCGAGAAAGTTACGAACATTAACAAAATCACAGAGAAGGTGATCAAGTGTCCGCTCGGCTTCAACAGCGTGCTTTCGCTGAAGTTGACAGGCAACGGGTTAGAGATTGCTGAGCTCGCGGAGTTACACACAATCAATCGTGTGTTACCAGCACCGCGGCCCGGTAAAAACTTGGCTTTCACCGCCAAGTGGAAAAAATGATGAAAATAACAGCTCTTTTCAAGCGCCTCGGCATCTTAAAGACGTGCGCAAAGTGGTGGGACCCGTTGAGTCGATGCAAACGCTGAACCGAGCGTCCAAGGTTTTGGGGATGTTCGAGCTTGCATTAATGTCCATTGCGCCGATGATCATTGTCAATGGTCATTGGACTTAGTATCTCACGGGTCATTTGGTCGAGTGAATCCCCGCGCACATCACGCGATTGCTGCGCCCCAACACAATCCATCGTCTGCTACGGTAGGTCACGGGTATGCACTGCATGCAGCAATGAAGTGAGGTGCAATGGCACGATAACTAGCTCGACGTCCTCATAGCGCTTCTCAAGCTGGGTGGGTACTACCCCGATGACTCGTCGGTGCTCCAGCTCCATGACGTGGATGACAAGGTGGTGATGGTCGTGAGTAACTTGGCAGTTCGTTGCTAAATAATTCGTATTGCCCACCATGACATGCGGGAACGTAAGTGTCCTGACCTTGAACACTGTTGGCATAAAGAAGAACGGTCGCCTGTTTATTGAGAGCTTGCTCCAAGTACTCGGTGTCGTGCATCCAAGAAACTAAGTTTTCAGACGGCACGCGCCTCTCAACGTTCAAGTTCCACCTTGACTCGAGCATAAGCACAAGCTCTTCGTGACCCCAACTTGCTGTTGGTTCGACCAACAAGAGTTCTGAGCAGTAGAGTTCTCACGGTGTTCTACTCTGACATTCCTGCATTTGATTCGTCGATTGAACTCACATGACTGTCGGTCGCAAGACACTAACTCGTCACTAAGTTGATGGTTATGAGTGCTCTCATTTTTCTCCACAACGTGTATGCGTCTGTGGATCGACAGAAAAAGCAACACTATTCGAAATCTTGAGACGGAAAGGCTCGAAAATCAAGCGACGCACTTTGGGTTGTGCGATCGCAACGCTCCTCTCAAACCCCAAATAGACGCTTTGCATTCTGACTTGTGGTATAACCCGAGCCGTTAAAGCTGTCTCGGGTGGCTAACAAAACTGGGAGTCATCGATGCATGCCGGATCTACCTCAAGACGAAGCGTGTTTTCGCTGGTTTACTTCCTCAGGAAAATCGGCTGGACTACGTATTGCTTACCTAGACGTTCTGCAACCGCTTCTACGCTCGACTCGAAGAACTTCCTAACAAAGCTTGTTGGCGACCTCCTCGCTCACTGCGTAAGCTTTTTGTCGGGCAAACAGCTGTACGGCCGATGTCACTTGAAGCTTTCGCAGTACCTTCTCGACTACTCGAAAGTTTTGTCTGCGATCGAAAAAGCTGAGCTGGCTTGCGATCAATTGCGTGCTGCTAAGGTGCGGGAGAAGTGGAAGATGAGCATCAAGACATGGCTGCAAGATGGATAGAAAAAGCCTCGGATGCAAGACATGCAAGCTGTTAAGGACGCCTACATCGCGCTAAGCCAAGCCGTTGCTTGATATCGTACTGCAGGTAGCGAATCGAATCGCTAGCTCTTCCATGAAGTCAGGAGCATTTACAAAGAAACAATCACGCGGGCGAGTCAGTACAACCAAGACACCTTAATCGACTTCAAAGCGGCCAGCACTGAGAAGTCAACCAGTTACTTCTTCCTTCTGCTAGAAACAAGTCTGCGTCGAGTATCGATTGAAGTAGTCATGACACTAAGTGGAAGTATCTCGACGCATTTCTCAAGAGATATCGCGTTGCTTTCTGGGGCACAAGGGGTCCAAGATGGGAGATCCAACAGTCCAGCCGATAAGCTCCTCCACCGGATGAAGACATGCAGCGTAAGCTTTTCGACTCGATCGTACGCGTTGTCTCGAAATTCGAACGTGCAATGCTTGACGCACCAATCACAGCTGTTGACCTTGCAAATGTGATTCGGCATATGAAAGTGACATCCTCGCCTAGCATGGACAGCGCTCCGAATGTGTTCGGTGAGTGCTTAAGTATCGTTTTCAACGGCTATTTTTTTCCGTGGGGTTCCGCTCCCATCCCAATGCATGTCTGCCGTGGTGCCTCTGCCCAAGAAGGGATCAAGAATCAAATCAGGCAACTACCGACCGATCACACTCATCGAGGTCGATGTGAAGGTGTTGTCGGAGGCGCTGAGATATAGTCTACAGCAAGTCATCGCCAACTTAATCCACGCAAACCAGAAAGTTTTCGTCAAAGGTTGGTCGATCCACCACCGCGTGCGCAGCCTCGCTAGTTTGCAGGACCTCATGACAGCTCATGACGAAGAGGCGAACACGACGTTATTGGACTTCTAGATGGCGATTGATCGAGTCAAGTGGCACTTCATGACTCGGCTGCTCAAGAGAATGTGGATGGACACAGCGTTTATCCGGTGGATCAAGCTGTTGTACTCGGACCCACAGGCTCATCAACTGATCCGCATGAACACCCTGTCCGCACTGCATCCGACGCGAGGCGTGAAGCAAGTCGATCTGTTGTCTGCGCTGCTCTTCGTCTTGACAGTCGAGCTTTTCGGTAATCTGCTAAGAACCCACGAGTAGTATGGTGTGTGTCTGAACGCAGACCACACAGCCACAACTGTGTTTTTGCCGATAACTCGGCTCTGCTTGTGAGATCGGTCGCAAACCTGCAGGCGCAACACGAGGTCGTGGGAGACTTTTACAGAGGCTCCAGCAAGAAGCTCAACTTGTCCAGTCGGTACTCTTCGCGCTGAATCGAAACTAAGACTGTCCCATGCTTTCTGGCGTTCAAGTGCTCAAACGTACGGATATAACTCATATATCAGCATCTCGTTTGGACAAGCTTCGGCCGACGACACAATCGTCGAGTTTCTCAACCAACGGTTCTATGACGGCTTCAAGACTTGGTATTGGCGTGCACTCACGCTATGAGGTTAACCCTTGTAGCACGAAGATGGTACTCTCTCGTCTCTGGTACTACTTGCTGCACGTAACGATACCTACAGAGGTCGTAATGCGGTGGTAGTCGATGTTGGATCATTTCATGCTCTATTGCAAGCACGACCGCATCGCGTCGCACGTATAGTTAATTCTGAATGACCTCGCGCACCAACGGCGCAGGGTGGCGAATGTTGTGTCCCGAGTCTGGACGCTCACCTCAAGCGGCAGCGTATTGCACCGCAAACTGCAACGGGCTCGGTTTTCTCATGATCTCTCCGCTTCGCCACGGCAACTTGCTTAAATGGAGCCTGACGTCGACTCGGTGGCGAGCGACCTGGGTCGGGCTGTACAAGACACGTGGGGAGATTACGTGGCACGATCTTCCACTGGACGAGCGTGCAGCTTACGGTCCCCGATAGCCCGTTTGGACGCCGAATCGCAATTTGAGCCGATTTCACGGATGCACACCAGTTTAGCACAACGCCAATGCATTGGCATGATGTCTGAACCACGACGAAGGTCAGGCTGCATGTGTCCAGAGTGGTCGCTTGCGGACTTCAGACCTTGGCTGATGCGGCAAGAGCTCGTTGAACGACTCATCGATTATATTCTCGCTAGTTTGACGCCTTGTCTGGGTGCGGAGGCTAATTTGGAAGCAACATAGATCGTGATTCAACTTAGCGCGTCGCAAACTGTCTTATCTCCATCAAAGAGCGAGTCAATGCGTCTGCTTCCACACTTTTCTTTCACAAAAGGCGTGAAAACGTGTTTGTTTCCATAGATCCCGCGATCCGCAATTTTCTGTGTTGTGTGGATGCCCAATCCACTGATGAAGCCATATTCAATAGCAGTTTACTCGCAGCAAGTCGACGAAGCGCAAATCAAGTTGTTTGTCAACTTCGGCAAACATTCGCACAAACTCCTGCTTTTTGGTTTTGAGCACTTGAGGTTCTAGCTCGCCTTCCGTCTTCTCTCAGTGCGCTCGCGGTTACAATTCCTCGAGGCAGCAGACCTGCGCATTTGGTACTGTGTATGATGCCATCGAGACTGATCAGCACTTGATTTTCGACTGCACAGTCCCATCGCAGGTAGCAGGTGGTCGAGCTGTTATCGCCGATTTTTTGTTGAGCATCCAACGTGGCTCGACATTGCTCTGACGAAGAGAAGCGCGTATGCGACGACTGGGGAGATCGAAAAGAAGAGGCTGGTGATGTGTGGCACACGCTTCACACAATAGCGTTCCACTTCTTGTGGTGCAACCGTATTCAACGGGCGATGACTCACACCAGCACTCGCAGCGATCCAACTAATCTTCACGACTTTTTTTCGCTCACATTCGGTACCTCTAACCTACCCGCGGAAGACGCAGTTGAACGAATGTTTTAGGTGTTGCATCAGCTGAAGACTCACCGACCCTTTAAAGCGTTTAATCGCATTGAAGTAAACATATGCTATCCAAACAGACAAGGTATCTGAGGTGCTTTTTCAGCCACGCGCCACTTTCATATTTTCTGGTCCCTAAATAAGCGAACCCAGCAAATCAAGATGGAACCCCAGCACCTCGCCGCCTCCCAGACCCACTCATTCCGGGCTGCCCAGAAGTCTGCTCTACTCCACGGACTGAATTGTCTTTGGCTGCACCCGAAAGGGGGACGGAGGTATGAGCGCTAAACAGAGTTAGACTGGTAGTTTGGTTAAGGACAGTGAGGGACATGCAATGGTTTCAGGTGGAGGCAGAGGGATGCGCTCGCGCCCGACCAGCACAACCGTCGCAAAACAAGCTACCACAACAATTTATCGAAGATGCACCCATCTAGCCACCGTGACAACGTAATTAGCAGTGGCAAAAACGCGGATGGCGAAAAATTCAGCTTCAAGCTCTCGAGTCATCGTAAAGACATTTGGGGCGCACTGTCCAGCTTCCATCATCTTGTTCACTTTGCAGATGCCCGAGATACTATTAGTATAGCCACCACTATATTTTTTCCCGCTCTTCAACGCCTTTCTTCTACCAGACACCGTCAAATTGACGCCAGGGCTTTCCTAAGTGTGCCCCATTTGACCACTCGCATGCAATGAACTGAGTGAAGATGCGCAAAACTGATTTCAAGAAATGAGTGAGTGGAGATACGCAGAAACAACTGAGTGAAAATTCACACGGAAGACGTTGGGTATGAAGAATGTTCAAGGAAACTGACTTATTGTTGGACAAGCTTTCTGAGTCAGTATCAAGAGTTTCCACTCCGATTTTGCATTTATGTATTAGACTTTACACCTCCAATTTGACATGAAATCTGGCTCAGCGGTTCGGAATTGCGTCTTCAATCTGTTGAGTGAGGGTTCGAGTTCTAGGCAGTTACTTGGTGTTTGGGATTCACCATGCTCCCCACCAGGAGTTACGTTCCCCGACCGATCTTTTGGTCTTTTGGTCTTTGATCATAAGAGTTTATTGGCGCTGTATCCATAACTTCTTGTCGTCACGTATCACTAGACTGTAAATTAGAGTTGATACTTATATCTATAACTATAGTATAGACAAACTTTCAACTGTATAACAATACTCGTTACTCAGGACGGATTCAATGTTGTTACTGCTGTTGTGCACGAGGTGGTCAAGGTCTCGACTGTAAGTCTATCTGAATATGACATTTTCGTCAAAAACAAATATCACGGCAAAGTCCAGCTTTATGATGAGTGTACCACGCGAGTCGCGATGTTGGTATTGAAGAAACTAAAGTTTCGCGCCCTCGTACTTGGCCCATATTGCACAGAAAAATCAAGGAATCCTTAGGCACGAGGGTGTGAATGTATTGTCGATCAGTGGCAAAAATGAACTGATACCACATTTCACTTTAAAGCTTTGACATCACAATGGATTGGCTGGAAACCTCAGTTTGCTGCCGAATCAAATTTCACGACTGCTTTTCACTAGATTCTATTTTTTGCCTATCCCGTCGCACAGTCGAAACGAAACAGCACGTCCTCAAAGCGTCCCCAGGCAGTCTTTGCGGAAGTTAGCAGTAGCAGCAATATTGCTGGCAGCTGATCGACGCAGTTACTGCGATGACGTCGTATCTGCCGAATCTGCTACGCACCAAGCGAAAAATGTCGGGCCCGGTCTCTTGGGGCCCACTGGATGAGAAAAATTTTGTGTCGTGGCCCACAGTAAACAATGCTTCCGATATTGTTGGAGGGGGTCGTAGTCCTAGGCATTGGTGTGACTCTGTTGATATTCGTGAGGTCGCAAGTTTTGTGCTCTTCGTGATTTATGTTGTGGCTGACGTGGGAGCTGGTGTTATGGTCTGGGTTGCTTTTTTTAAATTTATCATTGAGCCAGAACAACATCGCTCCCGTGCTACGTGGGGCGGCATCTGGCTACTCTTTGCTGGCACATTCTTTTATATCCGACGCCTCGTTCGGTCTCGAGTCGATGCTAATCTACGCGGTGTGATGGACCACGCTGAGATTTTCGTGGCTATGTCGCTCGTCATGGTTTTCTCCGTTAACATTTCATTTTATCTGCACGTACCGGCCACAACGCCACTAAAAGACTTGGGTTTCATGATTATTCCTGAGCAGAAACTTCACTCAAAGTGGCGTCCTGTGAGCGATATTTTGACTGCCGGTATGCCCGTCATTTTCCTACTCCAGACCGCCGTGATGACACGACCGAATCGTTGCCGTGTCGTGTCATCCTTCTTTCGTATTGTCACTATCTGCTACTTTCTGCGTATGCTGACGGTGTCTGTGACGTCGCTACCAGGTCCAGCACCACACTGTCGCGTGGGCAGTCACGATTACTTTCCACCAACCTCGTGGATTGATATTGCAACACGCGTCGGGCCCATATACGGCAATTACAATTCGTGCGGAGATTTGATTTTTTCTGGCCACATGGCGTACACAGTGTCGGCTGTATTGCTGTATTTACGGACACTGGACCGCAACTTTCCTGGTCGCATGGCTTCTAAGATCCGCTGGGCATGCGGCTTGACGTATCTTATCATCCTGGCTGTGCTCTGTATTGCTGGTCGTAAGCATTATACGGTAGATGTTGTGCTTGGGCTGATCGTTTCGACTCTCGTGTTTTTCCATTTTGAGCATAGCTGGACACCGCTTTGCTTTCAGGTACCACACGGCTTGTTACCATTAGACGATTTACAGCGAATATACGGGTTACAGTGGCGCAAGCGGTTTAGTATGGACTTGGCTGATGATGCTTTGATAGAAATGGATGATTCTGAAGGAAGCGAAGAATCTCGAAGATTACTGAAGACCAACACGTCAACATACAACCAAGTGCAACTTATTTGCTGAGTAATATAGAGAGTCTGCTAATGGTTTTCACGTTAAATACCTTTGGATTGATCCACAAATTTATCTTGTGTGTATTAATTCCATTTTGATGGAAAACCTGTTATCGTCTATATAGTTAGTTGTAATGTCACCCATGTTTGTAAAACCGAAATAAGCGCAGAAAGCTTAGGCGCCACCTCGCGCCAATTCCCTATGAACAAAACCACTAATGCAAAGCCCAGAACCAAGTTCTCCAGTCGCAATTTAAGTATCGTCTACAAGGCACCGTTACGAGGTAAACCTCTGCCCGATCATGCCACTGGACCGCTGCAACGCCTCAACAGCCGTATGATTGTGCTCGGACGTACGTCCGTAGCACCTCCAGCGCCGCTCAACACACCCAGTTTGAAGAAGGAGGGACAGGTGCACAACGTTCGTGTACGTCTAGTTCCTGCGGGATCCAACTGGGCTGAGAATGCCGGTAATACGCAGAAAGCCGAGACATCGAAGTCTTCCATCGATGATGTGAGGCTGACCGCGTCGTTGACAGGCTCTGTTTGGACGCCTGAAAGTGTGGCTGAGAATGTTCATGATACCACGTCGTCTGTTCGTAACAAGCCGGCAGCTAAAATTGCTGGACGCTGGGGGGATGACGCAGCTGAACGAGACATTGGCTGGAAGAGTATCCTATCTCGAACGCAAACGAATCAAGAAATGATGGAATTTAGCAATGCAGAAGACAATATGCAGAAAAATCACACAAACGTGTTGTCCTCTCCTAATCACTTAGAGCATGATAGATTGACGGACCGATGGGCACAATCTCACCACGAAATGCCCAGGCTGAACTCGTTGCTCCACAGCTACAATGACCTCGGTGAAGAAAGATATGGCTTTATCGATCACCCTGCATCAAAGTGCGAAGATGCAAGCCCTTGTGGCTACAATCTGCAGAATCTTAGAATCTCTGGTAAAAAAACCCAACATTCTGGCGCTATGTGCAGCAAGTCAAACACATCTATTTTTTGTGGTAGTCACACTCATTGTAATGCCAGCAATCCATGCTTTGATACTATGGCAACTGGAAACCAAAGTTATTCTGTGGAAGCTGACGGACTCGCTTTTCGAAATGAAAGTATGCTTAATTATTTGCCAGCATCGACAAAAGTATCCCTTGGAACCGGTTCGATCACTTTGTCGTCTTCAGAGCAGAAATTTGCTCGCAATGTGATTCAACCAGAAAATGATGACTGGTATGAAAGGGATGCAGGGTCTCCTACAGATTTGTCTGATTATCACGGTCTTAGTCATGACGCGGAACGTCCTAAAATGTTATTTGATCCAAAAACGGGAGCGATGGTCTTGGCCTCTGAAAAAAGAGGTTCAGCAAAGCGTAAAACCGGCGGTCAGACTAGTGTTGTCAATGATCACTCAGCGTTAAACTCGGAAACAATCTGCAAGCAATATAATGGTCAATCGCAGACAAGTTCAAAGAGGAAATTTATGAAGTCGACAAAAAATGGCATCAAATCCGAAGAAATGCTAGCTGCTGCCGTTGAAAATCTGGTTATGGACAACTCGAACATCATGAAAGCAATGGAAGCCGTCGTGTCGACCAAAGTGTGTAAACAACTAAATGAGAACGTTTTGCTGGCTGATAAATGCAAAGAAAAGCGTATTTCAAAGCCCCCAAAAGGAAAGCCGATTCAAATTTCTTTGTCTTGTCGACAGATATCAAACTCGCAGCATTCTGTAGCATGCACACGAACACGATCAAGGCCCAACAATGACACAATGATAAAACGTGAATTTCAAAGTGTATCTTTCGTAAGCAAGCATGGCAAAAAAAAAACAAAAAAAAAAACTCGATGCCGCTCTAATGACAAAGCTGAAGCCATAACAATGCAATCATTAGAAGGATTGCGATCAACAGCTGATAAACAGGAGATGACTGACGATGAGTCTAGTGAAAATGCGTCGATGCCTTTCACCGAGCAAGAAGGTACTTCAGTAGGTCTTCAAGACCACGAGTTTGAAACTGTTAAGTCACGGCGGGCTGTACAGCGCGAAAAAAAGGAGATTAGAGAGCGCTTAGCCTCAATGAGAATAGGTGCTTCTGCACTTTACAAATACAGTAGCACCTCGGCTATACCAACGAACAAAGGGAAGCACGCTCCAGATAATTGTGGTTCGGCTGTGAACATGCAAGTTACCTCGAAATATTGTGAAAAGTCTGTTAAGACGTGCAATAATACAGAAAAGGCGGTTAAAGCCAAAAAGGTGGAGCATGCAAAGCAGGCAACACGGCCCAAGAACAAGAGCATGTCAGCGAAGGCGGATTCTAGCGAGGGGATCGATATGTTTGTGAAGACGTTGCATGCGGTTAGTCAGGAAGGTCGGGCAAAGCTCATCGAGCAGGTTGCTGGAGAGGCTCCAGTGGAGTCACCAGGCTTGAAAAAAATTAGGGTGGCTTCAGCGACAAAGAAGAAGCGGGAACAGAATAGCTTCAGCTACAACCAATTGGATGACCGGGACGCGTCTACCTCCAAAGCCGAAGTTAAGACTTGTACAGAAATATGCGATCAGATGTCATCCAAGACAACAAAGCGACGGAGACCAGCCGCTTCGGCAAAGCCCAAGCATGTCCGCCATATTTACGTAGCGAAGACACCAGCTAGCAGCACATCCACTGCTGCATAGGTTCACGAAGGAAGACCTAGGTAGTAAATGTGTAAAGTATACTGAGCTTTACCATTGAATGCGGCGGGTATGTTGAAGTTGTCATTCATAGGAGAGAGCACAAATATTTATCCCTTGTGAAGTGCATATTATTCATCAAGTATTCATTAGTTTGCAATCAAATGCTGTCATAGATTGCCAAATGACATCAGTAGTTAACCAATCTACATTTTTTTTTAATCAAGGTTAATTATATGATTCATCATGGTCGGAGAATCTTACATGTGCTGGCACTATTTGTGGACGAATGACCAACTTATTTCTCCAAATGTGCGTTCAGTTGAACAACCCCTATCATGCGTCGGGGAGCTCGTGGCTGCAGTGAGAGTCAGGCCGTCGTGCAAAATGAAAAATCGTGATACCGTGTAGGTGAAAGCATTGAGGCCAAAGGCTCTTCTGTAAGCAAGTTGAAGCAGACTTTTCCTACGCCAGCTGGTACCGCCAGCGCCGCCAGTGTATAAAGTGATTTAGACGACCAATGTTATTAACTTGGCGATGGGATCGTCGCTGCGAAAATACGCCAGAGTGATGCGTCGTGGAAAAGCTTTGAACGCAATATAGCCAGCGGCAGAGTGTATCACCATTCTCAACCCACCGAACAGAACTCAGGTTTGATTTTGCACTATCTACAGCAAGCTGCTCTAACTGACAGTCCAGTCCATAAGTTCTTTATTGGGAAACGATCACCTTTCAATGCCGAGCTATAGTTTGACAAAGGAAACAACTACGCCGCGTGAAGTGGCACCATTTCTAAAGAGTCTGCGCCGGATGCTTCTCGATGAAAGTGAAGCTGTAATGAGATGGACGCCTGATGGCCGTGCTTTTGAAATTCACGACATGCAAGAGATGACGGCGCGCGTTCTACCAAAATATTTTAAGCACTGCAAATACACGAGTTTTCAGCGTCAACTTAACTACTTCAGCTTTCGCAAGTGGACGAAATCCAAAGCAGTGGTTTGTACCTTTTCCAACGACTGTTTCTTGCGAGATCAACCCGAATTGGCTTGGCATATCACACGCAAAAAGTCGCTTAGCCCACTCGCACTTCCCAAGTACAAACTTGGAGCCGCTGCTCGTTCACTAGTCATTCCTTACTGGCAAAAAGCTTCCGCGCCCAGTCCCATTTTGTCGAGTTTGTTATCGGCCGGCAACAATTGCGGTCGTCTGTTCCTGCCCGCGGCAGCATCCACTGATGTGACAAAGCTGCACGATAAACACTATGTTCAGCCAGCGCAAGTGAGCTGCCGCTATAACAGCTTCAATGTGGCGGCGTCATTACCATCGGAATCGCACATCGCGGCGAATGCAGGCGAACAAGTCGAAGCGTTCGATTGGATCGATTGCCTTTTGCCGCCATCAGAGGATGCGTTCATCTACATGTATCCATTGGCATCGCCTTATCCCAGAACTTTGCGCAAGAGTCTTGAGTCTGTTCAGTCTACTAGTCTGTGAATTTTGTAAAGCTTTTGCATGTAAGTATCAATGCAATGCCTGTCACTACACCTTTAAATCCAAAGCATTTAAGCTGCTGTGTGCTTCGCAGTGCCTAAAAAGCATTGTGTTATCATTCTAGCATGTCAACAATAGACGAGATGGTACAAAGGGTGTTGCATATGTTTTCTAAAAAGGATAACATCCTAGTGTAATTTTTAAGATCACAATTTCAGATTTTCTGTAAATAGGCAATGGAAGTACTCATCTTCGACACTATTCACGCGGTTTGCTTAATGCGGTTGATTGTTCGCCCAGGAATTAGCTTCAAAGTACCACACGGGCCAGTGAAAATAAATATAATTACATTTAAGTAACCTATGATACCATATTCATCGTACTTGTCAAACACGAATTCAATGTCTAAGGATTGGCGAGTGTCTGTTGCAGTATTTTGGACCACCAAGCTCGAAAGCCAAATACATCGTGAGCCTTGTTTGAACCAGTCAAAAGTAGACAACAACTGCAGTAATATCGTCTATCACGTCCTCTTCTGAATCCCAACGCTTGCATGCTTCTTCTATCAATGCTGTGCAAGCGTCTTGAGGAGACATGCCTGTATTGATGATACACTCTCCAAGAAAATGTATGCACTCTTCGGTTGTCATAAATTCCCAGATTCCATCGCTAGCAAGTACTGCAAAGGCAAGAGGCCGTTGCTCTTCCTGATCCCTGTCTGTACTACCAAACTCCACTGTCTCCACTATGAATACATCAGGCTCCGCAATTACTCCAACAGTTTTAGCTACCGAATCTCCGAACGACCGTGACATGGCCAATCCTGGCATGTCGACATCTTGAAGCCACACGCGACAGGATCCCCAATCAAACACCCGTCCGTTATGCATCTTTATTCGAGTACACTCTTCAGGTACATCAGGTTTATGGTCCTTCGTCTCGCAATGTAGCCTGTAGCATTGTTGCTCATCTGAAAATTTGGCGACCACCGCGCGACTGTCTCCAATATTGGCGATAAATAGATCTGTCTTTCGCACCAGTATCGACACTGCGGTAGTGCCACTCACACTAATATCAATTTCACTGGCGTTCAATATCTCTGTTACTATCTGCGATGCCTGCCTGAATACTTCTGTGATAATATCGCACTCGATGCTCTCTCCCTTTCTTTCTATATCTCTCATTGCATCATGGCGATCATGGCCATCGGCACGCCAACAACTCGGTGAAACAAGTGCCGCATATGTCTTTGCCACTGCTTGATGGTATTGCTCGCGTACGAAGTGACTGACGAAAGCACCTTGTGGTCCGTGTCCATCGAAAACTGACAGCAAAGTGGCGTCTGCATCACCAGCCAAAACGTCGCAGACACAAAATGCGTCTTGATTCTCCTTTCGACGACGCAGCGAGTCATTGCCTGCTCTGCAGCGTGTACCCCACTGCAATCGTCCGTTGCGGGACTTGTA